CCAGCTGATGTTCCCATGTGCACTAAGCCACACCCCAACCCTGAGCATCTGTTTACTCACAGTGGTGAAGGCATGCATCTACTAGACCCAGTCAGTATAAATTTAAAATTACTGTAATGTATATAGAAAACTTTTCTGTGAAATTAAACTTTTCATAAACACTTAATTTTAATTACTCAAATGTATCTACATAACTAAACATAGGTAAGCTAAGTGATTTGTCAATTTTTTTTAACATAGGAATTCAGAAAAACTACTTTATTCTATAATGGACTTTTAGCTATAATAGACACCCTCATGCCCAAATTAGTCCATTATATCAAGTTTTACTGTACATGGTCTTTAAAAATAGTTTAGTATGTTCTGTGAGTGACAGAGGTAATTTGTTTTGTATAATATGACCACACAATGCAGTCTTATTGACTCAAATTCGGCCAACCTGGAATTATTAACTAATCACAAATGCTTACCTGTTTTGACCAGATTATTTTGATTACTTAGTAATTATATTCAACAATTACAAACCTGTTGCTTATAGAGACACACTTTTCCTGGTCTTTCTGTTGAACTGAATTAGAACTGGTTCCAATCTTTAAAGATTTTTTTCTTATGTTGCTAACTCAGTAAAGTGTCCGAATAGCATTGAGTATATTTCTTCTCTTTATTGCTATTATAAAAATTTAATATGCATTTCCATATGTTTTTATTACAGTGAAAAATACAGGCATGCATAGGTGATAATTTAGCATGCATAACTTAATGGTATGCAATGTTTAGAATTATTATTTTCCACATCTTACAAACCCTCTAGCATAGTATTATGTAACATTGGAAATACAGTTACTGATAATTTCAAAAAGTTTTATTTCTACTAAAGTAAACATGGAAGTACCTTGTGATCAGTCAATCCCATGCCAGCGTATTGTATCTGAAGGACATGAAATCAGGACCTCAAAGTTATCTGCACCCCCATGTCTATTGCAGCACTATTTACAATAGCCAAGATATGTAAACAACCTAAATGTCTCTCAACAGATGACTGGATAAAGAAAATGTGGTATAAAATGTGATATATATTCGAATACTCAGCCATTTAAAATAAGGAAATCCTGCCATTTGTGTCAAAAAGGATGAATCTGAAAGGTATTCTGCTAGTGCTAAATGAAATATGCCAAAGAAAGAAAAATATTGTGTAAACTCACTTATATGAGGAATCTTAAAAAAAAAAAATATATATATATATATATATATATATATATATATATATATATATATATATATATGTAAAGGTAATGTCATAGAAATGGAATTGAATGGAGGTTGCCAGGGGTTGGAGTGAGAGGGACATGGGGTGATGTAGGTCAAAGACAGACATTTTTGGTTGTAAAAGGTTCTTAGGGTCTAATGTACAGCATGGTGACTATAGTTAGTCAGATGGTATTGTATGCTTAAAAGTTGCTGAAAGTAAATTTTAAACATTCTCACCACATAAATAAATTTAAAAAGTTAACTGTGAAATATATGAGGTGATAGATGTACTTATTATCTTGCTCTTCATAATCATTCTACAATGTGTATGTCTATCCAATCATCACAATGCATGTATACTTTAAATATATCAAATAAATATATATACAAATAAATACTTGTATTTTTCAATGAAGTTAAAATTAAAAGAAAATCCTCTCTGCTTATTAATGCTTCCATGATTGTGTTTAAAAGTACATATATGATGTTCACATCTTAGAGAATAAAATATGTAGCAGATCATATTTATCATATACCTGGAATAAAATCATAAATATGCTATATTAGTTTAAAACATCAAGAATAGGCTGCAATGCACACTGAAAATGCATTTCACTGGTGTGTTTTATCCCAGGGAAATATATTTACATTCTATTAGAGAGCAATACTTAGGACAAATGAAAGGAAGGGAACTTGAATTATCTCATCCTCATTTTCACAATTAAAAAAAAAAAAAGAATACTTTCCTCTTAAATGCTACGCAACCATCTGTCAGCGGCAGGGTGATGGTGGGTGTTAAACTGTGTGTTACATCCTAGATAATGTCCAACATGTAATGGATCCTCAATAAATGGTTGCCATTGTGATTGTCTATGGGGATGTACCTACACTTAATAGTGTCGACTACTACTATTCTACTAATCGTAATGATTACTTATAATTGGAAATGGGACAGAAAAAGTAATCCCTGTGATAATTAGAAAACATTTTCACTTTTAAATCTAGTGACATTCTAAAATATTTTCTAAGCATGTTTATGGACTTAAATCTATCACGACTTGAATGTCTCCTTACAGATAGAACAGTCAATTCATCAGTAGATAAATAATGTTCCATCTCCGTCAACCTGCTTGTTTTCACAATTATCAAGTTCCTTCCAAAAATAGCCTCAAGCCTACATTTAACCCAAACCTGTTTTCCCATTATATAAGAATGCTTATGGCTCTATTTCTGTGATTGAGTTTGCCATATAGATGAACAGTTTATTTATGGAATTTAAACATGTTTGTTGCCAGCCGGAAAAGTTCTGCTTTTATTACCCAAAAGGTGATGATAATAATCTGGTTCATGTGTGTTTGCATTCCTATTAGTCAGAAAAAAATGCTTATAACGCAACCTTTAAGGCAGTGGCTTAACAGAGCTGTTATTTAAAGATGTATGATGTGTGAGAGGCATTGCTACTTCATTAGCATCCCCAGATTGGTCTGATTTTCAGTTTGTAACTCACATTTCCTCCAGAGACCTGGGGCCCTTTGTTACATATTGCCTACATTCAAATCAGAACTCTCTGTGATGGCATGCTAGTGCTGTGCTTCTTATGGCAATAGGAGGTTATAAAATTGATGCAATATTGGACTAATGTAACTGTCTGAAAATAGGAATTAACAATTTCCATTATGTAGTTAACCTCACAAAAAATGGTATATAATGGCCTTGGAGAAGTTTCCTGGCAAAATTCAGTGCATCTGACCAGGTTATAAAAAATGTTGAAGCAGCTGAAACCGGTTTGGCTCAGTGGATGGAGCGCTGGCCTGCGGACTGAAAGGTCCCAGGTTCCATTCCGGTCTAGGGCATGTACATTGATTGCGGGCACATCCCCGTCCGGGTGTGTACAGGAGGCAGCTGGTCAATGTTTTTCTCTCATGGACGTTCTAGCTCTGTATCCCTCTCCCTTCCTCTCTGTGAAAAATCAATAAAATGTATTTTAAAAAATGTTGAAGCAAAACACTTAATTTTTAGCAAATATCTTAGGAGGATAATAGATTTGGGGGCTATCTTACATTTTGTGCATGTGAAGTAGAAAACATTTGGCTGGACAGTTCTTTTCATGGGATTGTTATAACCCTCCAGTATCATGATCTCAGGTTACACAATGGGCTTGTTTCCACTTTCCCCTGTCTTCTTCCACATCCATTTAGGTTGAACTTATTTGGAGTTCTGTGCGGGATGAGGGGGAGGGGTTTCTAATGGGGAGAAGTGTCATGTGAGAGTCTGTGGGGAATGAAGCTTGAAAACACCCAGGTTATAGGGTGGAACCAGAATTTATGGCTGAAATCTCCATAAGAAAGAGGGTTAGGTGCTAAGTGAGGAGGGGGAGGGGAGGGATAAGAAATACTTTCCTTCTATTCTTAGGTATAGTATTGGCCAATTTATTTTGATCAGCCTATCAGCAAAGGGGTACCGGTCAAACCAAAGGATTAAGCATTTTTTAATGATGTTTTTAAAAGTGAATGCACATTTACATACTGTCTTTGTTTACAGGAGGCGTGGAATAGGCAGCCCAGGGTTCAGCGGATAATGATGCTGTGAGAACCTGACTGCAGCATGTGTCATTTTGGCAGAGATGTTTGTGAAAGCAAAGATCAGGAGCGAGGGTGCAAAGAAAGATAATTTATTTTTGTATTTTTGCATAGGCCAGTAGTGCTTTTGAGGGTTAAAGAGGACTCAGCAAACCCCATCCTCATCCCTAGGGTCTTTCCTCCCCCCGCCCCCCCCCCCCCCCCCCAGCCTCCGGAGCCCAAGGCAAGGAGACCCCAGCGCCCGTAGGTGGCGCCCCACGTCCGTGCTTGCGCCCTCGCCGCGCTCTGGGCGCAGCTCGGAAACCCCGCGTGTCTCCCCAAGTCCTCAGAGCTCAGAGCAGGCATTTTAACAAATAAGCGCGAGTGCCAAGCGCTCCGGGAGCCCCGAGGAACAGAGGAGCAGCACCGAAACCCCGGCGGAGGCGCCAAATCCTGACATTTCCCAAACTGGAGACTCAGAACCAAAGCCTTTAACCATTCAAATCCCAAGCCTTTTCCTCTTCTCTCCCAAGCCTTTTCCTCTTCTCCTCTTTTCTTTTTCTTTTCTTTTCTTTTCTTTTCTTTTCTTTTCTTTTCTTTTCTTTTCTTTTCTTTTCTTTTCTTTTCTCTTCTATTCTTCTTCTTCTTCTTCTTCTTCTTCTTCTTCTTCTTCTTCTTCTTCTCCTCTCTCTCTCTCTCTCTCTCTCTCTCTCTCTCTCTCTCTCTCTCTCTCTCTCTCTCTCTCTCTCTCTCATCTCTCCCTCCCTCCCTCCCTCCCTCCTTCCCTCCCCTCAATCCCTTTTTCAATTATGAAAGTGGTCATGCTCCTCAGGATTAAGATTTGTAGGGAATTTGGAAAAGAAAAGAAAGAATCAAAGATCAGAGGTGCGACCGGTGCTTTTGACGGTGTCTAATTTTTGAAAGCTGCGTCGGGGAGGATTTCGCTCTGGGTGTTAGGGTGAGAGCAGAACCTGGGTGGTGTAGGGTGCGGCGGGGTGCGGGAGCGAGTGCTGAGCCCGGAGAGGGAGGGCGCCTTGAGTGCTGGGAGACTCCGGGGCGTTGGGCTGAGCCGTCTGGAGAGGGGAAAGGCTGGGGCTGTGGGCTGGGGTGGGAGGGAGAGCCGTGAGCCGCGCCACGGGCGCAGGAGCCGTGCAGACGCTGTGCAGAGCCGGTGCGGAACGCACGCCTGCCCGGTGCAGAGCGGTGCGGAGCGCACCAGTACGAAGCTAGGGCTTGGAGGCGCAGGGCACGGAGCGGGCTGCGGTCCGGTTGGGGGCTCGGGGCGTGCGGGTCCGGGCCAAGCACCGGTGGGTGCAGCGCGCGGGGAGCAGGCGCGGCCGGCGAGGCGGAGGGGCAGGGCGGGGCGGAGCTGCATTGGCCAGGCGCGGGGAGCGGATTGCGCCCGGCCTCTCCTCCCGCCAGCTGCGCTCATCCTCCTTAAGGAGAACTTGGCTGACGGCGGGGCTCGCTCGTCATGGATGTTCCAGGTAACCAGCCCAGCCCTGCGCCCCGCGATCCGCGCGTTCCTTGCATTCATGCGTGTGTTTTAACCGGGACCATCGCGAGTCTGCGTCTGGGCGTCGGGAGAAGCGACCGGGAATAAGGACAGAATTTTGTCTGGGGCTGAGGACAGAGGCTACTCATTGGAGAAATAACTTCTCTCTTCTGAGACTGTTGGAGGAGTTGTTCAGAGGCCGTGGGCGGCCAGGGGAGAGGCTCCCGGCTTTTTTGTTTCTGGGCTGGGTGTGGGAATGACCTGTCTGGTGTAGGGGGAGCTGAGGGGGCTGGAGGAGAAAGTGGTTAAGTTAGCAGAGAGTCTTGGGGCTGCTCCCCCCAACTCAGCAGACGGAAGCCCGGAGTCTGGGAACAAAAGCTGCACCGTCAGGCCAGCTCAGGGCTCAGGTCGCCGGGATCCTAGCTTGTGCCAGAGGGATCGAGGGATTCTCTAAAGCGCTCGCTGCTGGCCGAGGGGACGTGGTGGACGTGGGTGTTTTCTTTTAGAGTCTCTCTCTCTCTCTCTTTCTTTTTCTCTAATTCATCCTAAGGATCCTGGAGATGTGGTCTTTGCATAGACTGCTTTAAAAAAATGTCCAGGATGGGGAACATACAGGATGAAAGGGAAAGCAGAGAAAGGGAGAGAGAAGGATTTGTAGTGTGTTGAAGAAAATGCCGCTGACATGAAGGCGATGCAGCATGAGTGGATTTTCCTTTGCTGCATCCTGAGCTCCCCTCCGCCTTAGGCTAGAAGGGGGTGTGGAGTGGCCTTGACAGAGCCCCCTAGGGTCCCTGATCTTGTCTCAGTGCCTCCGAGGCCATGCAGAATCGCGGGCCCCTGACCTGCCTGCACCTCTGGCGGGCGCCACCCCGGAGCCTTTGGGGATGCCCTGCCCGGGGCGCCGCCGCGCGTTTCTCGGGACCTGTTGTGCCAATTTGGGGGTGCGGGGGGGTGCTGTGCTCAAGAACAAGAGGGTAGCCTCAGGCACCTGCTCCCCGGGCCCCCTCCCGAACTGCTTCAGCTCCAGTCTAAGGGTTTGGGTTCTTTGCCCTGACAGGTCCGCTGGCGCTTTTCTTGTGAGGACGATCCTGGCCTTCGCCATCAGAGCAGGGGACCCAGGCCAGAGGAGGCTGTCCCCGGCCCCGCACGTTGCTCGGCCGCCCGCGTTCCTCCCGCCGCCTCTGCCGCTGTCCCGAGCGCGCCGCCCCCCCAAGCCCGGATGATGGCGCCTGGCCGGGGCCCCCGCGGGCCGCCGCTGACCATGCCCGGGCTCCGGGGGGCGCTGCGCCAGCCGACCGGCTGCGGCTCCTGCCTCGGGGCGGCGCTGGCCCTGCTGCTGCTGCTGCTGCCCGCCGGCTGCCCGGTTGGGGCACAGAACGACACGGAACCCATCGTGCTGGAGGGCAAGTGCCTGGTGGTGTGCGACTCCAGCCCGTCGGCGGACGGGGCTGTCACCTCCTCGCTCGGCATCTCCGTGCGCTCCGGCAGCGCCAAAGTGGCCTTCTCCGCCACCCGGAGCACCAACCACGAGCCGTCGGAGATGAGCAACCGCACCATGACCATTTACTTCGACCAGGTCAGCCGGCCGGTGTGCGCAGGGTGCCTCTTGCAGGGAGAACAGGGGGGGGGGGGGGGGGGGGGGGGGGGGGGGAGACTGGGCGCTGGGGTTGGGGCTTTCCGCATCCCGGACTTGCAGTTCCAGGATCTTCCCTTCCTGTCCTGTGCCCCTTCCTTCTCTCTCCTGTTTCTAGTGTGCTCTCCTTGGCATTCCCTCCTTATCACGTTATAGCTTCCTTGTAACTGTCAGCTCAGGTGGCGTTTTGGTGACTGAGAACCCCATAAAGCTAAGAGATCAGAAAGATACTTCCCAAAAGGGAACTGCATGGTTTACTTTTTTGCCCCGATGGGGGCTGTCATTTGTGGTAGATGGGCCTTGGTCACCCAGGTGGCCAACTCTGAGACAGCCTTTTAAACTCTCCACGCTCAAGCAGGGGTCCTCAGCCGCTCAGAAAAGAGGTACCTGCTGCTTATTTTGGAAAGAACTGGGAAGAGGACATTTATCTTCAAAAAAAATAAGTGTGCAAGAGTGTGAGGGAAATAGCAGGGTGGTTATATAAATACAAAACAAAATCGCTTCTTATATAACTGCAATGTATAGTGAAAACAATATATAAGACAATCTACATACACAATATGTACACAATATCAATATATAGGTGGTTATGGGAATAAAAAAAAAAAAAGGATCCATGATTTCTTTTGTCCTAATCCATTTAACTTCCCACTGGAGTGAAAGCCAAAAGGTTATGAATAGGATCTTACCTTGGCAACCCCCTCTCTGGTGTGGCTGCTCAGGATTAGAGGTCATGACCTTCCTCTTGGATCCCTCCCCATTTGGTTCTGTTGTTTTTCAGATGCAAATTGAAACATAATAGTGCTTTCCAAACTCTAACGCATCAATCCATTCTTTTGGACCCTGTGCCTTCCACAAATGGAGCCCGATTCAGCTGTCCACACTGAGACCTCCCTCTGCATAAATCCACTCTCACTCCTGCGTATCCATAAACCTGCGCACACACTCTTGCCTCATTTTAGGCCAGTGTGTTCATTTGTTTTCCTTGTTGTTAGGAAATATGTATATTCATGAAGTTTCCTGGGATTTGAAGGTGGTGGTGGGAGGTAGTCTGTCTTTATTTTTATTTATGAGACATAATGATATTTACTTTATGTTCAAAGGAAGGAGACAACAAGAGATAGGTAACTATTTCCTGAATTAATAAGCTCTCCGTTATGTGTCACTATAATTTACTTCCCATGTCCTACAAATATTTTTTAAGTCCATTGTTTCATTTGGGTGTCAAGAAAACGGTGATGATGGTCAGCATAAGCAGTAGCAGGGTTCTCATTTTACGGACGAGGAACCTGTGGCGGGGCAGGCTGAATGGTGTGTCACTGGTTCCTAGTTAGGGAGAAACAGTCTGCTTTTCTGAGCTGGAACAATCCTCTACAGCAGGGCTCTGAAAATGCCAGTTTCCTGAATTTCAAATTGAGGCAAAGAGTTGGAAGAAGCAGCTCCAAGGGCCTGAGTGGAGAATGCTTTATTCTTCGTGAAAACATCATACTACCCACTGAGAGCATAGCCGTGGGGAGGCACAGGACAGTTGGGCACACCATCCCTAAGCATAGAGGCCGCGTGTCTATGTGAGCCCCACAGACTAGAGGGCGGAGGTGGTGCCCCCAGCTCTGGTGCGGGCTGCCTTCCGAACCATTCCGGCAGTTGTGGTTGAGCAGCAGTTGACATGGCTCTGGGAATTGCTTGTTATTCATCTATAATGAGCACCTAAGAAATCTCCACAAAACATATTTGGTTGACATTTATTTTCTGAACAGATGACAGGCTCTTTCATCCAGGGCTGTGTTGTTGTTGCTGGATGTTTGTCTTAGAAGCTGAGAACACCAGGCAAGCCATTCTAGTATCTTAATTGAATTGTGCACTTGTGTGTGAGTAGGAGTGGGGACGGGATCCAGTCAGAGTGGCCAGATTCTGTCTTCAGCTTGTAAAAAAGATTTGGGGGCTCTATACTCTTCAGGTTCTACTTATGATGTCATGCTCCCATCCCCTCTGATTTGAGGAAACCTACTTGCAGGGCCAAGTGAGCTCATATCCCATGGCTAGATTAGTCATTATTTTTGCACCTGATGGAATTCCCAGGGTTGAGCCAAGGGTGTCCAAGCTACTGTGTGGACTCTCCTGCTATTTATTCAAGCACAATGCATGACGTCATACATAGGTCATCCAAGGAAGCAAACATCTCTCAGAGGAAAGGGAGGAAAGCAGGCACCACAGGTGTTTATGGACTGAGATTTTGCACTCAGCAGCCATTATTGAACACCTATTGTGTGCTGCCAGGGCATGTGCCAGGGCTGCAGGAACACAGCGACCAGGACCTGACACAGTCCATTCTGCCCTGGAGCACATACAGGGAAGCTGCATCGGAGGGAACTGATCTCACTTAATTGGCTTCTTGCCCCATAGCCTATTCTCCACCCACTCAGTGTGGCCCACTCATTTTTTGTTTTTGTTTTTATTTTTTAATTTAATTTTATTGTTTAAAGCATTACATATAGTAGTACATATATTTCCTCCCACTACTTTTTGTCAAAGCTCCATGCTGAAGTCCTCATCGTTCCACAAGCCTCAGAACAGACTCAACATCTGGCTGTTTACTGACCTCATTGTCTTCCTTCCTTTCTCTCTGTCCTGCCCCCAATGCATAAAATTAGCACCTACTTTTTTCAACTCATAAATGAACATAGTTTAAAACATCTTTATGAATCACTATCCCTTGGAATGCCTTTGAAATCACTTCCCACTGCGGGGGGATTTTAACTCCAGCAGTGCGTCCCCCGTGGGTGGGCAGCCTGGGCAGCCTGTGGTGGGCCTGGGTCACTGCTGTACCTGTCTGGTCACCCTGTGTGCCAAGGCGGGGCCTGCTATGTCTCTGTGTGTCCCTCTTCTTTTTCAGGTGTTAGTGAACATTGGCAACCATTTCGATCTTGCCTCCAGTATATTTGTAGCTCCCAGAAAAGGGATTTATAGCTTCAGCTTCCACGTGGTCAAAGTGTACAACAGACAGACCATCCAGGTGAGTAGCTTCAGAAACGGGACCCTTTCAACTTTGGGTTACTCATTTGCCACTACTGCAGACCCTATCAGCCCCTCTGTGAGGCAGCGGGCAGGGCTGGGAGCCCGCTGAGACCTCTGGGTCAGGCCCCTGGGGAAGTAGGGCTCCATGGAAAGGGTGGGGGGACGTTTGGGGGGAAGGAGAGGACAGGTGTGTGAGAACAGGTGGGCCCTGCGTGGCCTGCTGAGCTCTCCCCTCTGCATTGTAGGTCAGTTTAATGCAGAACGGCTATCCAGTGATCTCAGCATTCGCAGGAGACCAGGATGTGACCAGAGAAGCAGCCAGCAACGGGGTCTTGCTGCTGATGGAGAGGGAGGACAAGGTGCACCTCAAACTGGAGCGGGGCAACCTAATGGGCGGCTGGAAGTACTCCACCTTCTCCGGCTTCTTGGTGTTTCCTCTATAAATGCCGAGCCTGGGCTGGCGGGGAAGTTGTCATCTGGACCCAGGAATCCGCCCTCCCTACGCCCCTGAACTTGGCAGAACAGGACATCTTGTTTCCAAGCTCCGTCTGACTGTCGCGATAAAAGAATGATTTCCTTCCAAATCTCTAGTATTTTCTCTGACTACTGACCGTTCCTTGGGAACCTGGCCTCTAATTAGTTTTGAGCGATAAGGTCTTCAGGAGAAATGATACTGCGGATCTGAGCAATTTGTACCTGCGATTGTAACGTCGATCTGGGATTTTGCTGTTGGGACCACTGCGATTTCTTCTTTTGTATGGACACCGTATTGTTGTCCGGAGCGAGGAGTGCCCAGACCTCAGGATGGATTGCAGGGGGCCGGCCGCACTCAAAGCAAGAGGCCTGCAGGTCACCGCCCACTGGCCAGCCCGTGAAATGTGTTCTCTGTGTGTCTGTTCAGCCTTAAGAAAAAGGATGGCTTGGCTTTCATTCTGTGTGTTTCCCTGGGAGAATGGGAGGACTGGGGAGGGGGGAGGGCATTGTGATCCTGTCGGAAGTGCTTTATCTGGAGATGCGAGTTTTGCACGATTGGACTGGACTTTTGTTCTGTACTGTGTGTGTGTGTGTGTGTGTGTGTGTGTGTGTGTGTGTTTCCTCGAAAAGCTTTACTTTTGCTTTCCATGCTCGGCTCTCCCTCTTCACTCCTTGCTTTTATTCTTCCTGCTGGGCTGAAGGAGAGAAATGTATGTTGAATTCCTGGATGAGACCCAACCAAACAAAAGGTACCTGTACATCAAAGTGAAAATGACACATGCACAATTCCTCGGATTCTTTTAAAGAGATCCTCTCGGATGCACCATGAGAATGAACAGCCAGGATTTTTTTTTAACGCTCTGGAGTACTTTAAGAACCTGGCGTTCCTGGGTGGCCTGGATCATGTCAGATGAGAGCAGGCGCTGTGTGACCGAGGCTCCCGAATATCTGGCTTCTCTGTGGAGGGACCTGGGCTTCGCAGCAGCATGTTTCACTTACTGGGATCCACTCTGCGTGGGCACACCTGGGGCCATGTGCTTCAAAGGCAGCGGAGCAGCCACTCTCCAGGGATGCCCTCCTGATCTGCCCAGGAAAGAGGGGTGTGGACACGCCCCTGCCCGCTGTGTGCACTGGCAGGAAGCCAGGCTGGAGTCCCAGTGGTTGAAGCTATTTGGCAGAGGCACCCAGGAGCGGTTTCTCAAACCCCTCCTGTTTTGGCACTTTGTATAACAATATTATTAAAATCCAGCTGAGCGTTGATGAGTACAGAATTCTGATGCCAAGGAGATGTCACTAATCCCAAAGCAGTCAAAGAAGAGACCTCAAACCGGATGTTAATTTGTCCTTTGTGTAACAATGTAACCAAAATATTGATGATAAAAAGTCATAATTTAAGATTCAGAATAAATGGGTTTGATGTCTGGCTTGCTCTTCTCCCTTCCCATTGTCTCCGAACTCCCAGACTGTGTGTAAGTATCAGCCAAGGGTCAGGGACTTGCCAAAGGTAAACCCATACCTTGCCTGTTTAAACACACACACACGCACCACACACACACACACACACACACACACACACACACAGACCTAGCAATGGGTCAGATGGAATTTACACATAAAATACATTTTAATTTAAGTACAGGATATCTTTCACACAGGAAAATGTTTGAAGAGATATATAAAAAAGACAGCATTCAAAAGGTGTGCGAGAGGCAGTCTGCTTTTGTCACATGTAATCACTGATGTGGTCCTCTTTCCAATCAGAGACCAGTGATTAAACTGACATTTGAAGAGAGAGTCAGTTATTTCTAAGGCATATGAGATATTGGAAAGGCATTAGTTTTCATTCATTTCCCAAAAAGAGATGCAGTGGGGACTATATAAATGAAAAACTGTAGTTTGAGTAAGGGTCTGTTTCACTGGCCTTAGGTGAAGAGCATGATAGAATGCAGAATAAATTTAATTTGAATTAAAATGATGTTACATTTTGTGAGGATGGGGAAATATCGGGAAACATCAACCCAAAGGCACATGGAATGTTTTGGCTCTGTGATCAGTGGAGATACTTCTGAGCAAAAAACATTGTTTATGAATACCGATAACATAAACAGCAGGATGCTGACCAATATATTTTCCACGTGTTTTATTGCCCTTAGTTATCTAGACCTTTTTCTCTCATTGCCCTTTACCTTCTGTTCAACTTAAAAGAAACAGCAAACCTCATTAGAAGACAATACAGCACTCCAGAGAGTGAAAGACATATGAGTACTTGTTATTTTTATTGCTTACAAATATGGAATACATGCATTTCTTTGTATTCACAACTTTATTACATACAGGCTGTCATTTGGTTATATTGTCTAATAAATAAGTTATTGACTAATCCAAAAATAAGTATATTTCAGGAGTTTATTTTGTTAGGTAAAATGCTTCATTCTGTTTATTACACTCTTTTTTTTTCTTTTTTTCTTTTTGAGCCGATGCCAAAGACTACATTAGGAAGCAGTGGTGATACTGGTGTTTCTGCAGTTGTTATAACTCACTGTCACGTCTGCCCGGGTCCAGTGATGAAGCTCCTGTATGGTCTACAAAAATATATAGGTCAGAGCAAACTTTGAAATTGATTTTCTTTTATTTAGAAAAAAGAGCAAGTGTGATATTTGCCACCCAATTTGAGCAGTTCCACCTCTGAGCCTCAGTTTCCCCACCTTTCCCATGACCCCTGTGCCCCCTCCCAGCTCTCTAGACTATTGTGAGGGCCACATTGCGACCTGAGGACTGTCAGGCACCTTGGGGACAGGCGGTGCCAGACAGGAGAGCATTTGTATGTAAATTTCCATTTTCTCAAAGAGTGTGGTAACACTGTGGTGTTATATTGAAGTATCATCTGATTTTTATGAATGGTAATATAAACATATGCAAATCTATACATTTTTCACATGAACTCAGTTATGCTATTTGACTATCTTTTGTGGCTCAAGCCCACCTTTCTGTTCTAGTAGGTAATGCCAATATTTTATAAAAATAGACATCTGTAACATTTTTAGCACAATAGTGAATTATCATTTTTTTTGCATTATGATAGTAAGTTGGTCTATTTGATAAAGGTTAACCTTACTAACGATAAATGTTTTTTGAAAAAATTAAAAAGTTTTAACTTCAATATATATTCTAATTTGAAACACATTCCTGATGATTCATCTCTCTAGGTCCTGAGAAACTGTGTTTATCATTGTAATTGCTGAGGGTTTTTTTGTTTGTTTGTTTCTTGCATCCTAATATTTTTTATTTATATGTTCATGTATAATGAAATCATTTACATTTTAAAAATTGTGCTTATTATGACTGCTAAGAGCAAAGGTTATAAAATTGAATATTGGCCTGAAAACTCATGGAACCCTGTATAAATTACATATTTACTTGTTTGGAAAAAAAAGTTTAAGCTAAATCTAGTTATATCAAGCATCAGAAAACTTAAAAAGGTATACAAAACAAACTGAAAACTCTGCTGTATCCTTATATTTATTTGTAATATTTGTATTATTTCCTTGATACCTTATCAAGGGAACTGATTGATATCAAGTCACATACATAGCAACTATTCTATATACTTATATTGTTTGCCTGCAAACACCTGAACATATAGTTTTTATCATAGAGACATAAAATAAAATACAGAGATTGGTTCATTCTCCTGGACTCTAGAAATATGTGAGAGAAAAATTTGATAAATCACTGTATACAAACAAAACAAAAGCATGGGTTGCTCCAATACACCACCTATACCAAAGGAGCAGAATGTCCCCTCGATTTGTGTCCCCCCAATTTTGCAATATTTTAAAGGAAATAAACATGACATAAGATAATGTAGCTGTGATAAATAGTGTTTACATTTTCTACAGCATGGGAAGTATATAATAATCTAATGCATAGATGCACATGAATAAAATGCTCTGCTACATTATATTGAAGACAGTGCCAACAAATGATGGAATTCACAGAGGTAGATTACAATGAATCATTCAATAGGTTTTACTGAACCATCTGTAAAAACAAGTACAAAATGTAAAATTACATTAATCATAGAACTACAACTACTCTTTGCCCTTTGCCTTGCTTATGTAGCTGTTTGTCACTGGGATTCACACTTTGCTACTAAAATGGGATATTGCAAACATATTTTAAATTTTAAAATCAAAGCCTATAAATTCTCACAAGACTCTTAAAATTGATTTTCTTGGCATTTAAGGAGCAAGCACAGCAAATACAAGGAAATAAGTTAAAATACTATTTCCATTTTGGAAACTTGGTTTTATCATTTAACAATTTTAGAGCTTAAACATTGTTTTTTAAATGACGCTGAAGAATGTAACTGATGATGGCCACATTCATTAAAAGAGTCTGTTTACATATTTTCCCAGCCTTTTAAAACATTTTTGCAGATATATTCCACCAAAATACTATATTTCCTGTTTGTGCAGGTAGAGGACTACAATTTCCTCATATTTAGATGTTTTAAATGTCAATGTGACATATCTATCCGTGATGTACTTGTTCAGATCCAATCCTCACCCATCCCTTCAAAATAAACAAATAATTCACCCAAAAACATCCTGTCAAAATCATTTACGATAGATTCAATGAATATACACTTTTTAATAAATGGCATGTGTGTGAGTCTATTTAATAACATTATGCTAAAACCCGAATTCTAAGTAAATGAACTTTCCTTCCATTCCCAAACCCAATAGAGTTTCTTGAAATTTAAGGGCAGAAGCCAGGTGACTTTACCTCCCATGGATAACAGGAGCTCTGCTTTATTTTCCTAAGCGGATTTAGCTGTGGATTTCCATCACGAGAATCACTTTAGGGTCTGTGGCCTCATAAATCATCATCTTCATCAGCTGGCCCACATACACTCACTGTGTAGTGTAAATGAGCTCCTTGACAACTAAATTTGAAAAAGAAATCTTCATTCCCTCTTAGAATGCCTGTGGCAGGACTCCCTGGGGTTAGAATGATGCTTTGCAGGGGAACTACCTCAACAGAAGGAGGCTATTGATGAAGGAGCCAACCTTGCAACCTGAGGGGCAGCACCTTGACTTGTATTATCTTGCTCCCTTCCATTCTCTGGGAATGTTGGTGTCTCCCAAATTCATTGCAGGTGGCGAGAAACATTGTTGGAAAAGGTTGGCAGTCCATTGGCATGTGGAACTCCTGAGTATTTTGCTTAAGTCTGTTTGCTCTAACTTGGTTCATTTTACAGTACAGTCCTTATATCAATCTCTTATGCTTTCAAGCTTCTATAGGCTATAGAGAATTATTGGCTTTGACCTATAAATGGACATTTATTGTTATTCCGGGTGTATTGTTGTTATGGAACTGACTTAACAATATACCTAAAATATAACTGAATTAACTGGAAAGTTTTGGCAAATTCTTCTTTATACTAAAACCCCTCATTTGCATTATTTTACATGGGTCTTAAAGATTCCTACTAGCTTTAAAATCAATATTAATATTTATCTTTGCATTGGTAACAATTTTTTTCCAATCAT